CTGCCCTGAGTAGACACATACTATGAAGTCATGCATATTAATATTCTTATGCTGAATGAAATGCTACCTATGAATTTGCGTCTATCAGGAATCGAACTCAGGAACTTTTAGATGAAAGGGAAGTGATCTTTTTAAAATAGACAATTCATCAGTTAATTATATTTTTCACTTATTTATAAGTAGTGTTAGCTTTTCCACATTATTTTTTCAAAAGGAAAGAATTAAAAAAAGTGCTTACTTAATATCTTTTCCGTAAGCATCAGCCCCGTTTTTGTTATATTGCACCTTTCGGTAAGCAAGAATAAAAACGCAACATGTGCAATATAAAGGCAGTCATCGTATAATAACAGAATTTAATTACGTATATATTAGTTCTAATTCCTCATCAAAATATTATTAACAATCTAAAAGTTTTATGCCAAGTTGTTGTTGTAGTTCATTTACGTTGCACTAGAGTTGCACAATGGGCTATTGGTAACTGTCTGGGAAGCATTCCTGACGTTGATCCAAAGATATGCTATTGCATTTTTGATCCTCTGCAAAGGGGATGGCACCCCCGCTCCGGTAGCCCGACGACCTGTACTCGAAGTCGAGCACTTTGCAGTAGAACGGTTTAACGAGGACCAATACCGCACACTCTCGGTCCCTACGCAGACTAATCTAAGTGGTCACCCACCCGCAAACTGATCGCAGTCAGTGATGCTTGACTTCGGTAATCTGCTGGAAATCGGGTCTTAACGATCTACTGCGGGACGTTCTATACTCAGAGCTAGGATGTAAGATGAAAAAATACAGTGTGCATAACTAGAATTTTAATTACAAGCTATTTTTTCCGATGCGAGTAGATTGTTTTTTGTCGTAAATGGAAAAAGGCTAGCTGAATTTTTTCCAGATTAGATTTTAGAAATCGCTAAAAAAATTAATATTCTAATATCTTTAAAAGTATTTCGACATTTCTAGTATATCGTATACCGTATTTTTTCTAAATAGTTAGAATAAGTTGCTTTCCGATTGGGCTGAAATAGCCTAGGACGTTGGGTCCATGTCCGAAAGTTCGATCCCCTATGGCCACAGAATCTCCGTGTACAAATTGGTGCCTGGTTCAAGCTAAATTTGTCAGGGTGACTAAATCCAAGTTCTCGTAACAAATCAATACCTCTGTGGGTACCGAATAGGAGATTGTTGCTATTGTAGTTCATTTACGTCGCACTAGAGCTGCACAATGGGCTATTGGCGATGGTCTGGGCACATCCCTGAGGATGATCCGAAGACATGCCATCACAATTTTGATCTTCTATATAGAGAATGGCACTCCCGCTTTGGTAGGCCGATGACCTGCACGCGAAGGCGAGCACTTTACGGTAGAACATTTTAACGACGACCAATACCGTACACCCTTGGTCCCAACGTAGACTAATCCAAGTGGTCACCCACCAGCACACTGACCGCAGCCAGTGATGCTTGACTTCGGAGATGTGTTGGGAACTATGTGTTAACGATCAGTCCACACCCGAATATGAGATAGATAGTGCTCTTGTTCAAGTCAAAATTACTTTGTGCGGATGGAAGGTGTGTGAATGCGTCCTCCCTGTAAAACGGGGTGTGACGTGTGTATGTTGTATCTGGATTATCCTCGGGGTTGTTTCCCATACAGTCTCCAATTTCCATAGTGCAGCTGTAGCGTGACGTAAATGAAAGTATCTTACCTTACTGTTTCTAGATCGCTACGAATTTCACACAGTTTAGATAAGGAAAAATGTCACGGTGATCGAGTAATGGCCCTTAAACTTAAAAAAAAGTAGTGCAGGAATAGCAGGCTATGATGATATTTTTCCTGAGGAAAAGAAAACACCAGTATAAGTAGTACTGGACGAGCGAAAACTAAGTAATAATACTTTACTTTACACCTTTAGGACCAGAAAAAAAAGCTCCTTTCTAGATCCGTATGCCCCGAGAGTATTAAATTGAAATTACGTCAGTGTCATCATGTGCAGCTGGAGTTGGAAAGGTTCGTTTTACGTATACCGTGGTTAGGACAATCTGGTGATTATATATATGGGAACACGGCTCCGAACTATTTAAAAAGCAGCATAAGGAATACAGGGCAGGTATAAACAGATAAATGGTATTTACCCTACTTAACAATTATTTTAATATTTTCTGGGTGGGGTAAGACTACGAAGTAGAACTTTGATATTCCCCAATCGGATTTTTATCACATGTTTGGAACCAGTAAGAAAATAAAATAAAAGAACTACACGTTTTTTTAAACTTTCTGTGTGTGGAATTTTAAGGTTGTAAGTTCATAAATCTATATAAGATGTTTGTTGTGGAACTGACCCTAATCGATATACTAGGTTCTCTGACTGTGTGCTTGAACCGATCGATAAAATAGCTTTAATGATATTGTATATATAATCTTAAAAAAGCTTCTCTTTATTAGAGCACGTCTAGAGTTCTACGGTGGACTGATTGCGAAGACACTGTTCCCAGTAGGACACCGGAGTCAAGACCACTGATTACGGTCAGTGAGATAGTGGATGACCAATTTTATCAGCCTAAATAGGGACCAAGGATGTGTGGTATTGGTTATCATTAAACTGTTTTACCTCAGAGGGCTCTACATCGCTCGCAGGTCACGAAGCTACCAAAGCGGAACATTAATTACCTTCACATAGGATCAACATTGTAATGGCATGTTTTCGGATCATACTCAGGGATAGAACGTCTCCAATAGCCCAATGGTCCCTGAGCCATGAGCTCGCCTTCCAATAAGGTGATGAATCCTAGCGATGGTTATTCAATACGAATCACGCACTCGACTCGAATCGACCACAGTGCTAAAGAAAAATACCCTCAGGGGTAGACAGATTGTGGGTTAGAGTCCCTTTGCAGTTAGGCGAACGGAGATAGGTTTTCGTTGATATCCTCTCCATGTACTGCAAATGTGGGTCAGTTTTATCAAAAAGTCCTCCACGAAGAAAAACTTATCTCAATAGTTGATCTTGGCGTAATCTTCTGGATTGGGTTCAAAATTACAAGATTACGGAGTTGAACATTGGTAGTCATAAACTCAAAATTGGGTCGGCCGCTCAACGACGATTACAAAACTACAAAGAGAAGCCCAATTTGAAGCTCTGGTGCGATATAATTACTCTACAAGAATTTTAATGACGTCTGTCATTGTTACGAGTGTATTCGTTTAGATTTTATTAAAAGGTAAATTTTTAGTCACACAGTTTTAAATTTTAAGCTTTGATTAAAGATGCATCTCAAAATGACAATTTAGTTCATGCGGATTTTTGTCAAATGGTTTGAAAGTTATTACAATCTTTGAGAAAGTTTAAAAACTGTTTAAAACTACAACATTTAAAGTTTTATCTAGGGTAAAGTGAAAATAATTCAATGAATCAAATGAAACAAACAATCATCCAAAATATGAATTATTTAATGAAATAAAAAAATTGAGTTCAGGTAATTCACCGTAAGTTAACATGGATAAAGGAGAATCCCTTTATCTACATATTTTTAAATTTGGATTTCTGTTTTTTTTTCATAAATTTCCTGGAATCAACTGAACATTTTTAAAGGATATCATTTGTTTTATTCAGAAGACAAAAAAAATAGCGATAGGATATGAAGCTACCATGAATATTTCATGCATGACTATTTTTATCGTTAGTGAAAATGCAAAATGGTGACCCACAACTATTTGGTTTATAACATGTTAATGATTTAGCGCCCTATAAGTACTCTCAATTCAATGTGTTTTTTGAAACAAATTATTCTTTCACTATTAAATAGTGTTTGAGGTTAATCAAGTGAAATAAAAACAGTTATAAATCTAAGCTAAGCCCGGTGAGACATTTTGTTAAAAGCTGCAGGCATGTGTAAGTTATCTTTAACTCCTAACCAGTGTCACCCGAATCTAGTTCGGGCAACTTTTACGTGCATTATTTGTGATGCCCGAACTGACTTCGGGCATGAGAAAAACTATCGTTTCTATTTTGTGAACCCCAAGCTGATTTCGTTTCTAATTTAGGATACTTAATTCACTATTTTCCTAATAGATGGCATTAGAGGTCTTGGTTTTTCACCGATTACGACTTCAGTCGTTGGAGGGAAATGTGGGTGGGAGGTTTGGGTTGTTGTTGTTAATTTACGTCGCACTAGAGCTGCACAATGGGCTATTGGCGACGGTCTGGGAAACATCCCGGAGGATGATCCGAAGACATGCCATCACAATTTTGATCCTCTGCGGAGGGGATGGCACCCCCGCTTCGGTAGCCAGACGACCTCCTCACGAAGTCGAGCACTTTACGGTAGCACAGTTTATCGAGGACCAATACTGCACGCCCTCGGTCCCTATGCAGACTGATCCAAGTGGTCACCCACCCGCACACTGACCGCACCCAGTGATGCTTGACTTCGGTGTCTTAACGATCAGTCCACTGCGAGACGTGGGAGTTTTAGGATATACCATACTGTAAAAGTTTTATAAAATTTATGCATTGAAAATCATATTGCTGTGTTTTTATATTATATTATACTAGTTATTTAGCTTCAAAATTTTGTTTCATTTGCTCTAATTTAATAAAATGTGTGTGCAATCCATTGCTTTTTTATGTGTGTGTAAAAACAATAAAAATATAGTAGTTATTGCATCAAAAAGAATTTTGTAATAAAAAACTATTTCTCTAACTTTTATAATAATATGAAGAATTAAATTTTGTAATAAAAAACCACTCTCTAACTTTTATAATAACATGAAGAACTAAATTAAACATTCAAAAAATTTTTCCGTTTTTGGTCTATTTTTCTGATATATGTCACTGTTAAGGGGTTAAGTAAATATAGCGAAAACATGGTAACGCTTAACAGTAGGTCGGGTTACGCCTCAATTATATTTAAAGACTCTAAGTCCCCCAAACAAATATTCAGCAATAAAGTATGGAACTAATTCAGAAAAATATATGTATTTTCAAAATAGTTTATTCTTTCAGCATTAAATATCATTGGAATATGAGGCAAATCTAATTAATTAACACTAACCAGAATTTTTAACATAAATATGACATGACTTTCAATCGATCTACATTGAGTTATGCTACTGAAGTATTGTGTGAGCGATAGGTTCAGGTATGGAGTCCCAGATGGTTTGTAGCATTTCATCTACGTAGCTTCCAAAGCGATGTTTTCTTTTATAAAAGTATAAGTAAAATAGTTGAAGGCAATAGTATTCGCATCTTTGACAGATAACTTCACTAGAATGTATTTCTCCCATTCTGAAATAAGTAGATAAATTAAAATATTCACAAGTATAAAGAATTAAGGTGATAACGTTACTGCACTTTAAATAGAGGCCCCTCTCAAACAATCTAATTACTATTTATTGCATAATAAAGCTTTGCGTAAACAAATTTTTGAAAGAAAAAAATATATTCGAACCAAAATTGATAAATAAGGGTTGACGATGAAGACAATAACTTTTCATAGCGCAACTGAACAGATATCATTAAAAAAAATAATAAACAGTTGGAAATTATTTTGGTTTATCAAATTCTTTTCTTTGAAGAATGAATATTATCATGCCATGCTTCGTGAACAACAATTAAAGTTGTTTAATTTTGTGTGTATAAATTGTACCACAAATAAGTCATATATTTAATTTATTGATTTTTTGGCCATCAAAATCTTTTCACCGAATCTAATTGATCATCAAAATTTTCTTAAATGACCATTGACAAATCAAGATTCAAATATTGAAGAATTAAATTTTTTGGTATTTCAACACTGCTAACAAAAATTAGCTTCTGTGTTTAACGGAACAACAGAAAGAGTCTCCGCACCATTGGGACACTATGAAAAAAGTGTTCGTGGTTTCGCCTTGTGTATAATGCTGATTTCTAAACGGAAACTGAACTTGTTCAAACACGTGATTCAAAGTTGTATATCACGCTTCCTGAGCTGAAATTAAAAAAATTATAATTTTGTGGAATCTCACCCATTGGCAAAATAAGTGTTGTTTTGGGTTTAATGGCATGCGCACCTTATTTGGACGTCATCACACTTTTCAACGGTGTTGAATAAGGCTCCTATACTATCAGAGCTGACCTATCAAGCAATATTGGAGCAAACAAGTTCGCAAGTTAACGTTATGTTAGTATTGTGCTTATGTTATTAAAGAGATGCCAACTGCTGCGGACACGCCTAAATAATTTAAAAAACGGTAAATAACTACAAAGTAAATTTTGCAAATAGCTGACAATATTTGCTTTCTTTTAAAAATGTAAATCATGTAATAAGTGCTATACCTATATTAAAATTGAAACTATAAAGTGGTGAATTATATAAGCCTACGCATTGTTTAGAAATAGTGGTGGATTAAAACCTACTAAATCGAACTTATGAAACCAAGAATTACAATTAATAAACTACCACTTGAAAATATTTATTCGCTGTGCTTATGTTAGCTCTTTGCTCCAACAATAAATGATAAGTCGGCCTATCTAATTCAGGGGCTCTGGTGTTCGTCGTCGTCGAATGCGTTGCTATGGCGACAGCTGCTGTTTGATAATTTTTTTAGAATTCATTTTTTACTCTTCTTTTTTTTCACCAGCAGGCATTTTTAATGTATTTTCATAATAATAATTTAAAATATTTTTATATTTTTTTCATTATTAACTTATAATTACTGTCTTGACAGTGATTTTAATATTTTTTATTATTAACTTATAATTACTGTCTTGACTGTGATTTTAATATTTTTATATTCTTTTTATTATTAACTTATAATTACTGTCTTGACGGTGATTTTAATATTTTTATATTTTTTATTATTAACTTATAATTACTGTCGTGACGGTGATTTTAATATTTTTTATTATTAACTTATAACTACTGTCTTGACGGTGATTTTAATATAAATATGAATACTGACGAAGGAAAAGTATTTTGTGACGTCTTGAAACACGTATATATCCAGGATTTGAAAACCAATCTGACGACAAATATCAATTGAGTTGAAACAGTTTTTGCGGCGCATGATTTGAAATGTTATGGCGTTTATCGGAGTCAATCCAGAAAAGAAAAAAAAGCATTCGACCAATGGGTAACCAGTAATCGTATTAAAGCGATCACAATTTTTTTGTTTTATTTTACTCTGCTTTTTTTCTTAGTACTGTTTCATTCACATTTGCAAATGTATACTTATAAACTATGAATTTTAAATTTAATGTTATTCATGCAAATTAAATTTAAAAATTAGAAATTATTTAGCACAATTATCTTAATTTCAAACAGAAAATAAAGATTAAACAAAATTTTGTTGTAAGCATTCTGGCACGTGAAAATAGCACGTGAAAATTCAGTTATTTTATGGTTTTAATGTAATTTTTTTTCCACCTTAAATTTAACAAGCGAAATTTATATGTAATATAAGAATTGGGTGAAAACTGTAATATAAGATTAGGAATATAAGAACTGTTAAGGAATATAAGAACTGTAATATAATATAATTCAGTGAAAACTGTAATATAAGAATTTCACGTGGTTAATTAAATGATTGAGAATAAAAACTTATTGACTCTTCTTTAAAAACCCTCTTTAACTAGCAAATTAAAAAGAGCATTTAAAAAACTAAATTACATTTATAAGAAGAATTTTCGTTCTAACCGTATTTACTTTAGCAATCGGTAATATAGATTGATTTATAACAGCATGCACATTTAAATAATTTGTAAACATTCTTTTACAGTTTAAAAAATGTCATTGCAACGAATTTTTAAAAAAATATTGATTAATGTGATGCGGACCATAAATATAAATAGAAGCAGAAAAATAGGTAGTAAAATATTGTTAAACTCAAAGCTTTACATTCACCTAATCAGGTCGACTTTAATAACCTAAACATATTTGTGCTCACAATACAATACTATTTACAGACATTGCTAAAAGTTTCTACTATTATTCAAATCTCATTTCACCAGATTCAGATGAAATAACAGTTAAATTAGACATTACAGTTATTTCGAACATAGTTATATTTGTAATTTTATATTATAACCGTCGTTGGACAGCCAACCCAATTTTTGGGTTTACGGCTGTTAATGTTCAGCGCATTGTAATTTTGAACCCGATTCAGAAGACAAGGGAACTCTTGGATCAAATATTGGGAGAAACTTTGCTTCGTAGGGGACTTCTTCATGAAACTAATCCGCATTTGCGTTACATGGAGAGGAAAACACCCACAGTTAGCCTGACGGTAAGGGGACTCTAACCCATTATCCATCTACCACTGAGGATATTTTACGACAGCACTGTGGTCGGTGCAAGCCGGATGCGGAATTCGAATCAACTAGCCATCGCTGAGATTCGTAACCGGTTGCCCTCTTTGGAAGGCGGACGCTCTATCCCCTAAGCAATCACGGCTCTATACACAGTTATAACAGTTATTTCAGATTGAGTTAGCCAGTTACTTACTTTTTGATGAACGGTTTTTTATAATTCAGAAACAAAATCGTCAATTTTTCACTTCAGGTGCAGTGGAACGGACAAGTAGCGCCATATCTTCTTTACTCATTTCCAAAAACGCCTCGCTATTTATGACAGACGTGAAATTAGCACTTATAAACTTTACAACTCCATTCTTGAAATCCTCATCGCTATGCCGACTTGCAAAAGTAAACAGAGAACATGCATTGTTTACATCAAGATGACTCAACAATTCGGTTTTGCATGCTTCTTGCAGGGACAAAACTTCATATTTATCTGCAGCATAGTACAATTCCATAGCTTCATCGAAATTGCACTCTTCCATCTTACACGCATACAAGAAATTGACCAGCCTCCTCATTGTTGCTGAACCTATGTCTGAAACGTCAACTGTATTGTTAGCAGCTTCGATTAAGTCATGATCGAACATTTTTTGGAACACTGGGGAACGAGCTTGTAAAATAATTTTGTGAGCTTTGATGTTTTCCCCACCCGTGTTCAGTACTACGTCAGTGTTATAAGCTTCGTCCAGAATTTTCATTAAATCCGAGGACATCTTGTCCATTCTATTCTCATAAGAAACACAGTACAGTTTTGAAAGTGCAGTATTCGACGATCTTACTGTACAACAGATTGTAATAGGATATTTTGTCTCAAATGAAAATCCCTCGAACTTTTCAAACAGATCAAATACTGCGGTTTTTGAGACATGTTTTAATCCAGCGTGACTACAAATGACTGATTTGTCCTTATCAAGAATGTTAAGCATATAATATCCATATCTAAGACGCTTAGGATTATACAAGATTAAGTATCTGACTCCAGCACTGAATCCGATTTTGAGAAAAGACTGGTTTTTGCCATCAATGCAAAATTCAGAACTCTGTAAATCTTTTTTTAAATCCGACTCTTCAAGTTTCCATTCGAAATACAAGAAAAGTTTGGAATAAACTATGAGAAGATTTTTGTCATACACAACACGTACCATTATTAAGCTGCAAATCGTACTAGACGGCAGTTTCTAGGCAGCAGTAATAAACTTCTTCCTTAATGATAAAGATTATCTAATCAATTTTAAGGACTTCCTGAAAAACAATTGAAACCATTCACTATCGTGTGGTGTAAACAAAATAATGAATTGAACTTTTTCTTTATGAGTTTATTTGTGAACGAGATAACGATGTTTCGACTTGTTTTATGAAGAATTAAA